AGCTATTCAAGAGGCTGAGACATGAGACTTTCTTGAACCTGGGAGGCAGAGGTTGCAGTGTGCTGAGATCGTGCCCCTGCACTCCAGCCAGGGCGCCAGAGTGAGACTCTGTCTCAAGAATGAATGAATGAATGAATGAATGAATGAATGAATGAACAAAATAAAATTATACTGCTTAGCCTTCCCTTTGAATTCCACATAATAACATCTCCAAGCACAAGATAAATAAAACCCTCAAGTCCCAGATGGGGAAACTGAAGAGTTTCACTAGGCCTCATTTTCTGGCGTGTGGGTGTATTAGGCTAAGGCTTTCTCATCAAGTATTCCAGGGATCCCTAGGAGAGGCCTAAAAGATGGGACTCTGGCTCTCTCTCTTTTCATCTAGAGCAGCTCTGATTTTTATCAGTTCTACATATTGAATTCCTCGTAAAATTTAATTTGAAAGGAAATAAAACCAGTGGTTTCTACAACTAACTTTCCTTTTTCTTTTTAAATAGCTAGCTTAAATTATATATGAAGAATGCAGCAAGGGGGAAAGCAAGGGATTTGGAATCAACTTTGCTGGATTACAGATAGTAGGCCTTGATTTCCTCATCTGTAAAATGAAAACATGGGTACCGCTGGGCACGGTGGCTCACGCCTGTAATCCCAGCACTTTGGGAGGCCGAGGCAGGTGGATCACTTGAGGTCGGGAGTTCAAGACCAGCCTGACCAACATGGAGAAACCCTGTCTCTATTAAAAATACAAAATTAGCCACCAGGGTGGTGGCTCATGCCTGTAATCCCAGCCACTCAGGAGACTGAGGCAGGAGAATAGCTTGAACCCAGGAGGCGGAGGTTGCGGTGAGCCAAGATCACGCCATGGCACTCCAGTCTGGGCAAAAAGAGCGAAACTCTGTCTCAATTTAAAACAAACAAACAAACAAACAAACATGGGTACCTTCCATGAATGCTTTTGTAAGCATAAATTAGATACTATGGCTACCATCCCTAGCACACTATGTGTGCTAAAAGGTAGCAATAAAGTTATTACTTATCAATTTTCATTTGTTTATGCTTACTAACAAGCCAAAGGAAACACTAAGTAAAATATTTATTTTAGATCTTAAGACGCAGTATGTTCAAACTTTGGCAGGCTAAAAGAAGTTAGATGTTAGGCTAAATAGTAATACCAATTAAAGACCATCTACAGGCGGCAGTGGTGGCTCAAGCCTGTAATCCCAGCACTTTGGGAGGCCGAAGTGGGTAGATCGCTTGAGGCCAGGAGTTCAAGACCAGCCTGGCCAACAAGGTGAAACCCCGTCTCTACTGAAAATATAAAAATTGGCCAGGCGTGGTGGCTCATGCCTGTAATCCAAGCTATTCAGCAGGCTGAGGCAGGAGAATCACTTGAACCTGGGAGGCAGAGGTTGCAGTGAGCCGAGATCACACCATTGCACTCCAGCCTGGGTGACAGAACGAGACTGTCTCCAAAAAAAAAAAAATGACTATCTACAATAACATTAATGTACTTCACATGGGAACACAATTATTTTTTATGAAAACATAATCCTGGGCTAAAAAACAATAAAAAGAAGCACATTATTTTGCTCAACAAACAGTTCCTAAATCCTTAACTACCCTTTAAGCATTCTGCAAGACTGTAAATGAAGATGAAGTATTGCCCAGATACACATGTATGTTGACTGCTGCTGTTTTGTTTAATTCTACAGAGGTGTAAACACTTGAAGATTTAGTGTGGCCTTAATTCCACGATTATAAGTAGATTTTCACAAAACCAGGGACAGAGGCTGGAGTCTAACTTATTAAATCAAGTTTCAAGCTCTACTATCAAATGCTAATGACTATAAGGCAGGAAGCTTTAATTCAAGCAAATGATTAGAACAGATTATACAAAAGTAAACAGGACCCAGTAGAATCGGCCAACTTTACTTCTAATCTACCTGTACCAAAACTGGTAACACAGAAATAATAGCATCACTCTGACATCCACAAAGATTAACCTAATGAAAATTTTGCAGAGTGGTAAAAACGTAGACTAATACATAATGCCAGAGTTTCTTACTTAAAAAAAAAAGACATCTGCTGATGGCCTAATATCTCTTTTCCTAGAGATAAATGAAGAAACTAAAACATTTTATTTAAACTTATTCCCCCATCACCCTACACTACTATTTCCAAAAATTCAAGCTTCCCAAGGGATAAAAACTGGAGAATAAGCCACAGAGCAGGTCAAAGGAGGATGAGCTAAAGTTTATTAAGTATCTACTATGTACTGGAACTTCAAGTGTGTTGTCTCATTTCATTTTCCTGACAATCTGTAAGCTAAATGTCCTTTTCCTCATTTTAAAAGTGAAGAAAATAAAGGTCAGGGATAAACTCACTTGTCCAAAGTCACAAGGCTAACATATAGCAGCATTAAAATCGGAAACAACACCAATTTTTTCACTATCCCACCAAGTTTCCAAAGCCAAACAATTGTGCCTGGCACAATGGGAGCAGAAAAACACTGAAAGAACAAGTAATGATACTTTTTAAGAAAATTTTACTTTTATGGGGGAAAGATTCCTAAATCACTGAAATTTTCTTATTAGAAAGATGTGATACTGGAGTAATTCCACTCTTCCCCTCTTGGATTATGAAAGGAAACTTTTAATAAATGAAATTGGAAATGGCTAAACACAACTACAACATCCTTTTTATAGTTTAAAAAATGCTTCTATCATTAGGATAACAAATATAATTTTAGATAATCTAAATATTAATTGATAGATTTTTCTCCTTAATTTGGCAACATTACTTTTTCTAGTATTTAAATAATTAACTTTAAAATTGGCTGTTTAGTAAAAGAAATAAAAATCAGACATAGAGTAACATTCTCCTGAAAAATTGCATTTTAAAATTTACAACTAAAAAACAAATCACCAAAAAAACTATCATCATGTTACTAGACCAAATATAATAAAAAGAAATAATTCTTGAAGTGGTTATTCTCTAGAATGTAAGAAAAAAAAATCTAATGAATTCACCTAAAATTTGAAGTGCCAAGTCCATAAATACAACTTGATTTTCCTATGGAGCTTGATCGCTTATTGGTTTAAGACTTCCTATAAACAATGTCAATATATATGTTTAAAAAGAACAAGCCATCATGCAAACACTGTTAGATTAAACTCAAGAGGTCTATCTTGACAAAATAATTGTTTTATAGAAATATATAAATCATGTACTTAAAACTCTACAAATAGGGCACAAGGGTCCACTCATAGTTTACTTTTCTGTGCTATATTCTTGAGTTGAATTTTTGTTACATGACTTTCTGACTGATAATGTATCAATGGAAAACTAACTTAGCAGTTCTGCAAGTTTTTTCTTATAACTATTTGGCAGTTATTAAAATCTGCACACATTCACACATATATACAAGTATATATGTATTAATAAGGAAGAGAAAAATAACATCTGACAGGAACATGAAAACAAAGAAAGTATTAAGGTATTTGAAATTGAAGAGAAATGCAGTCCAAAAGTAAAATTCGAACTATTATTAATATATCTTTACTTAGGTCATCTTAGGATAATACATATTTCTCCTATATATTGGGGGAAAAATCAGACACATGAATATTTTATAAAGGCACACTGCAAAATCAGAAAGCTGTTCCACACATCCACACTTTAATCTGTTATAAATTAACTTGAGTCAGTTCAAATGTTACATGTAACGCGCACGATTACAACTAAAGTCAAATCATACACACCCTCAGTAACTGTAAGCCTAAAACAACTCCAACAGTGAATGAGACGGCTAGAGTTTTCCCTAAGGAAGGACAGGGGTTGGGGGGCAATCTGCAAAATGGATATAACTGCAACAAATGCAAAGACTGAAAATATCCTAAAAACCTGAAGATGCTCATGTGGTTTCACAACAAAGTCCCTTTATAAGATCCACAGCCCAGATGACTTGCATCTTTCAACTGCTCCACTTCCAGAACTCCTGATTTTAAATCACACTGAAAACCTTTGGCTGCAATTGAATTAGCATGGTTGGATTTAGCCCTTCTAAATGCCAAAAAGCAAAAAAAAAAAAAAAAAAAAAATACCATTCTAAAGTTTGTTTTGTTTTAAACTCGGATCTTCTGCATTCCAAAATTGTATCCCTCTGACTAATATAAACCGTTATCACAGAGAAATGGTTTAAAAAAAAAAAAAAAAGCCAGTGAAAAGGAATGAGGGAGTAGTAATGGTAACATACAGTACCATGAGCTGCAGCGGCCTCCCAGCCAGTGGTGCAAGGTTAACAGATCAGTCCTGGCCTTCGGGCAGACAGCAGAACACAGCCTTGGGGAAGGGGGGACAGGGACGGAGGCCAGGGGAGGGGGCCCGCTCTCAGGCAGTTTACACAAGAAGGCAGCTCAGCTCCTTTCTGGCGCACTCCTCCTCTCTATCTCCCAACCTCTTTGCGTGTGTCTTGTCATATTTTCTTCAGCTGTTAATTGTCCAGACTCCAAGACTTTAAACAGCCACAGTTTAGGAAAAAGCGAAACCTTTCTAAGTGACCATCACAGCAAATCAGCTTCATGCTAGTGGGTAAAATTTTCCAAGGGAAGTGTTCTTCTGATAGTTCCTGAGTCTCTAAGTCACCCCCACCCCCACCCCCACCAGCCGCCACACACACTCCCCCGGAGGGCTAAATGCACTGTGGCAATAAAACATTCATGCGACTTGGAATTTTAACACAATGCCATTTCCCTAGTTTAACCTGAAAGGAATGCACTAGTCACAACAGACTACATCATCCTGCCATTAAACCCTGCCAAGGAACCGCTTTTTTGGCCGCGCTGGGCCAGCTTTGACGGGAAAGGAGTACACAGACCCACACACTGAGCACAGAGGGGCCACCTCTGCTTCCTCAGCCTTATCCAGCAACACCCTGCTCTTGAACATGACCCCTGACCCCTTGCATTGTGACCAGCTTGTGAGGCATGTGTCACCCTGGAACTTCTGCAGAGCCACACACTGCGCAGGCCATTTGCTGCTCCCTCTCAACAGGCTCTTGGGCAGACGCCAAAGGTTCTTTCTTATTATTACTGCTACTATTGAAAGTCTTCTGTTTAAATGTAGGGATGCTTTTTCCTCGAGTTGTATAATAGTGTGGCTTGGGGTTTTTTTTTTTCCCCTCCTTCGTTTGTTTTGGACTTCTTAAAAAACAAACTTCACATTTGCATTGATAATTATGTTGTGATTACTGACAAAATGATTTCGTATGGGGACTACTTATCAAAGGTGCCAGTTCTTTCACATTTAAGTGACATTCAATTTAGACTTACAAAACACAAAGCCAAAAACAATTCTGATTTCTCCAGAGAAGTTTAGAGAAAAATTCAAAGGGACTGAATTCTAAAACACCTATACTTAACCATTTTTATTTACATGCTAAGGTATTATCACAAAACAAGCAACAATACTAGATCAAAAAACTGTATTTATTGACTTATTGCTTGTGCAGAGAGTTCTGTCTTCCAAGCAACATAACTGACAAGGAACTATTTTTAAAAGTATGTATACCAAATGAAAAATTAAAATCATACTAAACGTTTACAAATGTTTTTATTAATTTTAAAACTGTTCTTATGTACCCCTGTAATTTATAACCAATCACAACAGTATTAATTTTTGCAAGTTAACAGAGGTCATAGTTTTGCACCCCAAAATACCCCTTTTTTCTTCTACCACCAATTCTCCTACCACTAAAGGATGCATTCCAGATTTTCTTTTTCTGATCATTCATCTTATTAACTATTTTCATACGATGCACATTCACTTTCAATCTTGTCCAATTGTTTTATTATTCCTCTTCTCTATTGTAGTCATAGGCAATTATAAAAAGCACAAAGTCCCCTCTTTTTGCCCTGACCTTGAGCTACAGCCAGGTGAGCTGTGATTATCCCTACAGAAGGCAGAAGGTGTTCCAGCTTTAATCTCCTGGAGTGAGGCCATGTCCCCTTTCAGTAACAAATGAAGAACATCTTACTTCATCTAAGAGAATACCCTAAAATACAAAATGATGATCTCAAAGCAAGTTAACATGCACATATAAAATAAAACCAAATTGTCTTCTTTAGAGTAATTTTTGTCTCCTTAGTAGCTGGAATTAGTCTTAAGCCCCAGTTAAAAGACTTTTTTCTTTTTCTTTCCTTTAAACAGACATTATCATGCCTTGAAAAGTCATTCTAATCCCTTCACCTTAGCCAAGCCATGCTAATTCATGAGAGGAGGACAGCAATTAATTTTTTTAAAAAAAAGGAATTATACTTGACTGGGGGGAGGGGAGAATCAATTCAACTCAAAGCAAAGGTTACCAAAACCTATGTGAAACATTTCCATTTCAAAATGTAAATGCTGAAACCAAATTGTCGGTTTAATCTATGTAAAATACAGTAATAGACATTTGATTTTTTCAAGTAATCTGATTTATTATCAATGTGCATATTCAAATTCCAATTTTGATGTTACTAGTGTGAAGTTATTAGAGTGAAACCCAGTAAAATTGAAGGAAGAATCAAGTGATGCCATGAGATTAAAATTACAGAGGTGAATTTCTATTTTAGTCCAAACAGATATACTTTTCTTCTTATATCAAGTTAATCAACACAGTGACACCAAAGTATCTTGGACCAACATTCTAAGGATGAACCGGGGCCTATGAAAAGAGGTCTGTGAAGTTGCACCTGCAGGACATGTAACCCTCTCCATGGTAATACATCTCCTCTGAAGACCTCTGCAACTTTGGGATACATCACTAAAAGAAGGATAAGCAATCTCATTTTATTTCTAAACAAGTTGCCAAGTTGTTGTTATTATTATTATTATTATTATTATTATTATTATTAAGATGGAGTCTCACTCTGTTGCCCAGGCTGGAGTGCAGTGGCGTGGTTTCAGCTCATTGCAACCTCCACCTCCCAGGTTCAAGCGATTCTCCTGCCTCAGCCTCCTAAGTAGCTGGGACTACAGGCATGTGCCACCACACCCGGCTAATTTTTGCATTTTTAGGAGAGACAGGGTTTCACCATGTTGGCCAGGCTAGTCGCGAACCCCTGACCTCAGGTGATATGCATATCTCAGCCTCCCAAAGTGCTAGGATTAGAGGTGTAAGCCACCATGCCTGGCCCAAGTAATTTTATAATCTAAGTATTCACTACTATGGTATAGTGATGCATCACATATTAGGAAATCAGAGCATGCTACAAATACAACAGTGAAAACTATTTTATATGAAATTGTACCAGTACAAATAAGTGGAATCAGAACAATACAGAACCTGCTAATGAAAAAACGTCGTATCAGTACGTACACTGAAATTCAAAAAGTTGCAAAAAAAAATCCCAAAGTTTTGTAGAAATGTTAATTTATTTTGGTGGGTACCATGTGAGTAGATCAAATCTGTGATAACCAGCAGTGATTTCCATTTTCCTTGAGCCAAAAGAAAACTTTACTGTGTCAAATGGCATTTAGAAATACGAGTTTTAAAGTTCTGTAAGTTACCTTTTAATTTCTAGAAAGCAAAATAGGTGAGATTTTTCTCATCAACTTCTACTAAAAACAGGACATCCAAGTGCAAACAGGCATATGTTAATTTATTCTTCTCTGCAGGGATTCATTTGGAGCCAAGGGATTGGCTAAATCAACCCCCTCCTCAACACACACATACAGGATGCACATGCAAGCAAAGGGAGTTAACAGACTCTAACCCTGAATAAGGGAAAACCTCAGAGGCAAAGAGATGAGAAAGGACAAGATGTGTATGGACAAAAGAGAGAAGGAAGGAAAAGCAAAGAGATGGTATGGAAGGAAAACCAGACTGAGAGAAAAGCAAGCCACAGGAAGGGCGGGGTGAGAGAGAAAAAGAAATAAGAATGAGATGGGGAGGAGCAAAATGGAAAGAAGCAGAGAAAGAGTCAGTAGGGAAAGGGAGAGAAAAAGAAAAGGAAGACCGAAGGAAAAAAGGGATTGCTGGCAGAGAGGAGGAGCTGGAGCCCCACAACAAAACAGTGGATCAGGCAGCTGGCCTGAGATGCTAATTCAGCGCTTTAACAAATCAATGCCACTTGAAAAGCACAATGCGAGCCCTCACTGGGTAGATGTCAGGGGACCGAGAAAATGCATTCTCAAGTATTTCACATTAAGAGGGAATAATGTGTTAATTTATAACTCTTCACCCTATACACTTGGATTATCTATCTGTGTCAGCGATTTGACTTCTTAAATTTATCAAAAACGCACGCAAAGGGAGGCAGCTTCAGCTTCACCACTGGGAAATGGAGGTTTAGGGAAAGCCTGTCAGCCAGTCCTAGGTAGTTCTGCTGTTCTTTCCACTTTCCTATTTGGGCTCAAGTGTTGGTGGGGGTGGCAGTAAGGAGGGAGCAAGGCACTGAAGGGGAGATGAAGGGAGGAGGGGAACTCCTGGTCCACTTACTAAAGCAACCAAAGAAAAGGCTTTCTCGGCCTGTGGTTGATTGCATTAGGTACCATCCGTCAAAAGTGACACAGAAGAGAAGGAATAACTTGAATCAGCAACCCAAGCTGCCATCGTCAGAATTTACTTTATGGAAACTTACTTAAGTCTCTCAGCACACCCAGCGGAAGAGGGCCTGCTGACAATTGGATTTTAATTAAACAGTACACTTGCAATGCCACCACAGTTCCACCGAGCTTATCAAAATAGGAAGGGAAGAGGGAGTTAAGCGGATTTTGTTTGGTTAGTTTTGAGACAGGGAGGAGAGATGTTAAAGAACTCAGATTCCAGCCCAGCATTTAGGAGCCTCATTAGAGGGACTATTTCTTTCTCAAGAAAAACCTATTTTATTAAACATCAAATTCTTGGAATTGTTTCCTAATTATTCCTTAACAAAATTTAGTTAACTTTTAATATAATGACTGCACAGTTTCTAACCTGTGGGAGAGACAGACTACGTTAGTAAGTTTTGTTGCCAAAATTAAAGTATTATCAGATTTAAATTTTCAAAGTGTAAGCATTGTCAACACACAAAGGCAAGTGCGTTAAAATTTTGGAATAAATAGAAGAGAGTACATTTCAAGAAAGTGTTTTAATTAAGATTACACCTTCAAAGATATGAAGGGGAAAAGTGGTTATAGGTAAAAAGGGGAAAAAGGCCCAATTTTGAATAACTTCTAAGTTTAAGACTGCCCAGACTACACACAGCAGTATTCTAAACTGAGGGCATTTTTTATTTGCTATATGTACAATTGCAACAGAAACAGACGTTCTCTTATTTTCAAGACATTCATATGTAAATGAATGCAGATGAATGGAAATGAGATGCTAAACATGATGGGCAACGTTCAACATTTAGTTTAAAAAAAAAAAGTTACTTCACTTGCTGAAGCTTGAATCTCTTCCCTCCTACACCTGGGCACAAAAAGAAATGAATGACAATGATGGACCTTCCACCAGTTTCTACTGGTTAAACAACACCTTATAAAGATACTCAAGACAGAAAACAAACATTCTTTCAGTCTTAACGTTTTGCATCTTTCCAATGACATGCATCACACTGAGTCCATTTTGAAAATAAATATTAGAGACTGAAATTACAGGTAAATAGCCAGAAACAGGCCGGGCGCGGTGGCTCAAGCCTGTAATCCCAGCACTTTGGGAGGCCGAGACGGGTGGATCACGAGGTCAGGAGATCGAGACCATCCTGGCTAACATGGTGAAACCCCATCTCTACTAAAAAATACAAAAAACTAGCCGGGTGAGGTGGCAGGCGCCTGTAGTCCCAGCTACTCGGGAGGCTGAGGCAGGAGAATGGCGTGAACCCGGGAGGCGGAGCTTGCGGTGAGCTGAGATCTGGCCACTGCACCCCAGCCTGGGCGAGAAAGCAAGACTCCGTCTCAAAAAAAAAAAAAAAAAAAAATAGCCAGAAACATTACAGTGGCATTGAGTCAAAGGGCTAAAATATCCAAAACAGTGTGATTACTTAATGAATGTTATCTTACTTTCAAATGAGATAATTAATAAGGAATTTCTTGGTTCATGACCATATAGTACACTACTTTCCTTTTTCATAAAATCTGAGGAGACTGAACATACATTCTGAGCAGTGTGTTTGCAATGGGAATTATATATATATGTACGTGTGCTTTTCAAGGGTCTCTATTTATGCCCTCAGAGTAGGATTTGTCCTATCCCCAAGTTTTTGCATGAATTACCATTCCTGTCTGTCCCATCCAAGCTACCCCCACATAAACTATCTATTCTTATCATTATGGTACCATTAATCCCATTCTCCCCTCCCCCTCCCAACTCACCTAAGGGGTTAAAAGACTTCAGTACATTTGTGACTTGTCAGTGACATATAATACCCGGGTCCTTCATGCAATCAACTTTTACTTGACATGTATTTGCTCATCACAGGACCCGCATTACTACTGGGAAAATGAAGAAAAACCTAAATTAACACTTGACATTCAATATGGTCAAGTCCTTAATTGGCTGGGCTTCCTGAGAAAGCAATTTTCTATTCCCCAAACTGTTCGCGTGTCATGTGTGGAGTGCAGCTCTTGGCCATCACTGCTGTCCCTCGCTCCCTCTAATGAGAGCAGATGAATTAGTGCTACGTGACACGATTTGAGCAGGGCTTCCTCCTCCTCCCCTCCCCCCAATCTTTCTCCTATACCAGTGACAGCTGTGTGGCAAGGGGAAGAAAGAAAGAGAAACGCAAGAGCAAAGAATCCTGTAAAGGATGATCATTTTTTTAAATGAACCTTAAATGTCTTGTTGAAACTACAGAACAACAGGGTCATTTAATTGTGGAGGTGGGGAAGGGGGGTTGTTACAAAGATCAGGGGAATTATCTGGCTATGGTTGATTTGGGTTGTATTAACTTCCAGCATGTTTCTTCCATTCCTGGCTAGTTGCAGTATTAGACTGCACTGCTCTAATTAAAACGGAATTTACATCCACTTAAAAAGTTTTTGAAAGGTCTGGAGCATGGGGCAACTAGGAAAAAAAGAGAACAGAATGAAGTGATTATTGTTCTAAGATAAATATACCTCTAAGTTAGCAAAAGTCCTTTCAACAATCACTTAGGTCAGGAAAAATCTACAGCACAAAACTATAGTGATACTTTGTTTTCAAATATTGTTCGATGTCTGAGCTTAATGCAAACTATTTTATCCTAACTCATTTTGTTTTGTTTCCATTGATTGCTGAATTACTGAAATGAAAAATTACTTGATCACTGATTTCATTCTATTATTCTGGAGAAAAGGAATATATTCTACTTCAGATGTGCTTGTCTAGCTCAGTAAGAAATAATGAATCCATGCATGAAAGGAAGGCAGGACAGAGTCTGCTTTATTCAAAAATACTAAAAGGTAAATTAAAGGTATTTATCTGAGTCCTCACTTACTCAGTTTGAGACCAAAGAAGTAGTGATTTTAAATCCATAATCGCTCACCCAATCTGATTAGGACAAAACAGAACTATAGGATAGAAGAGCATGTGGCAAATCATTTAGGAGTGTAATTAGTACAAAATACATGCATAAGTGAAAATAACTAGTGGAAGTCACAAACACCTTATTTGGATCATTACTCAGTTTTATTTAGGTGAGAACCAAGACAAAAATGTTACCTGTGTACAAAAAATTATATCAAGGCTGCACTGTGGTGTCACAAAATCAGTTTACACACGCAAAACACAAAAGTATTTCAAGTATAGCTCCCCTGCTTCAAGTAGCATGATCACTTGTTAATTGTTCTTCTATAATTCTGAATATAATTTAAGCAGTAATAAATACTGAATATAATTTCAGTAAGCAAATTGTGAGTAGATTTAAAGATATAAAAAGATGGTGAAATCCATTTTTACACTACGTGTAAAGTTATAACCTAAAGTCAAAAATGTTATTTCCACATTTTATAGTTGTGGGAAGTAACGGGAAAGGTAATGAAGCTTTATAAGTTTTCCAAAAAAAAGCAATTCATAACATCTTAGAGTACTACTGCACTAACAGAAGACAAAATGTAAATAAAACTGTTTTTGAACACCTTGAATTTTCAAACTTGTTGGAACATGATTAGTTTCAGACAACAGAAACACTAAAAGATGAGTATAAATTTCAGAAGTATTTTCATGGAAGCAAAACACCACAACGGACACACATACTGCACAGACTATCTCTTCTGAGGCCAAAGCAGTGATATTTCACTATCATTAAGATCCCTTTTGAAAATACACTTGAGACAGCTTGTGAATGGGCATTTTATCAGGTGTTTAAAAGAAATAAACAGATAATTTGGTATTCTGGAAAAGTAGCTCAGTCTAATACATCCAGTTAACTGCTACAGTAGCATTATCATCACTGAGCAACAAAGGGCAGTGTATTCTGCCAATAGCTTTAGGGTGACCTTTCCAATGCTGACTAGTCCGTCAAATTCCATCTCTGAGATGCAAGGCATAGACAGGGATGGTTTATTAACTGAGGTAGGAACTAAAGACTAGGAGGCTCCAAAAGGGTAGGCGTTTCACATTCAGGAAATGGGGAATTCCTTTCCCTAAGAAGAGAAGCAGTGTACCTAAGATCAGGCTGAGCAGGCCCATGGTCTTCCCCGTGGAGGCTTCCATGGCAGGAAATTCTCATGTACTAGGACAGCGTTAGCAATTTCACATGTTTCACATGTTCCTTTTCTCCCCAGCTACATTTTTTTAAGGACTGCAATGGAAACCCAGGTGGAAATGAGTAAAATGGGATCAATGTCTTGAGCTCTAGGAATAAAGCTGCAAAGGGATATTGACAGTCATAGACCTTTAAACAAACTGTGACCGATACTACTTTAATTTGGAGGTAGTTTCCAACCATCGCCAACAGGATAAATCTACAGAACTCAAGGGTGCAGAAACAATGGGTAAGAAAAATGACTGTACTGAACTGGGAAATTTTCAAGGATAATCTGTAGAAAACCAGCCTAGGAAAAGGCACTTTTGTTTTAGAAGAAAGTTAACTGTGACTATGGCAAAGTGACATGCTTAAACTTGATATTCTCTTAGGGATGTGCAGGCTTTGAAGCTCATAATAAACTTGAAATGGCTCTGTGGAATGTTAAGGCTTAATGTAGATGGTTGGTGCCACTGTCATGCCTATACAAAAGTATGTCAACTTAGAAATAACTGCACTAACAGCTCCAGGGTATTTAGAATGGAAGACAGCCCCCACGACCCTTTTTTTTTTTTTTATTAAGAATTTTACTTTGAACTGTAAGAATAAGCTGTATTAAGTTTCCAACCTAGTTAGTGCAGCTAAAATTAAAATACTTACTCAGTTTTGGCTGGGCGTGGTGCCCTCCTGCTTCTAATCCCAGCACTTTGGGAGGCCGAGGTAGGCAGATCGCTTGAGCTCAGGAGTTCGAGCCCAGCCTGGGCAATATGGCAAAACTGTTATCTACACAAAAAATACAAAAATCACCTAGGCATGGTGGCGTGTATCTATATTCCAGGTACTCAGGAGACTGAGGTAAGGGGATTGCTTGCCCCTGGGCGGCAGAGGTGGAGGCTGGCCATAAGCCCAGATCTTACCACTGTGCTCCGGCCTGGGCCACAGAACCACACCTTGTCTCCCCCCAACCACCAAAAAAATACTAATTTCAGTTTACTTTAGAAAGGCAGAATGTCTGCCACCCACTTCGTCTGTGTTACCTTTACATTACACCATTCTTAAAAAGTTTAAACACGGCAGAGGAGAGAAATGAATGCTTTGAAATAGCCTAACATATGTAACAATAAAACTATCTAGCAAAGATAAAGCACAAACGTTATTTTATAAAAATTAACAGCATCTAAAGGGGTATATTCTTTTATCCTCCATTCTTCGCTACCTCTTTTACTTCAGTGCTACCCAGTAGATATTTTATCTAATTCCCAGTTGAAAGGTTTCTGAAAACATTAAGTCACAGCTGTGTTGACGCTGAACTTCTTGAACATGGCATACCAGCATCATTCTGACACATTTATAGATGTTTCCTTACAAGCTGCACCAGCACTTGATTTGAAATACCTGACTTACTCTAACACAAACTGTTAATCTCTGGTCTTTTCTCCAGTTCAGTTCTTCTCTGCAGTTTTGGAAACAAACCAACAACTTGCTATGTTTACAACAGAAAGGGCTCCCTTCTGATTGGCTTCTGACACCGTTCAGTGATGCTGTTCATCAAGACCCTAGAAAGATCCTAGATATACCTAGGCCCCATGTGCAGATCATTTTAACAAGATGTTGTTTCCTTTTCCCACGTAAATCAATAACAGGATGACCTTCAATTTGAAATTCAAACCAATTAATTACCTGTTCTGTTGAAAATGTTGATATCTGATTTGCCTGGAGAATTTCAATTATGAATAGATTATTTCTTTTAAAGAGCCCCTTCAAAAAATATAGATAGTCATTTTAAACCTCATCTTATACAATATAAATAATGTTTTCTTGAAGCAGGTATAAAATATTGGCCTTGCACGAATTAGTAGGGGGAAGTTTTCCCCCTGGTGGTCCATCTCCTCCTTGTGACATCATAATCAATTGCTTGGTAAATTATAGCAATCCCACAAAGATTCAGGGCCAAGAATCTACCGCTTTAAGGTGAGATGAAAAGCTTTTTACAGTTGAATTCAGCTTTTCATCTACATCAATTACTTACACAAATCATGAGATTATTTTCAGAATTCAGAAATCTTTTATTATTTTAAAATCCTTACGCGTCTACTTTTATTTAAATTTTTTTGACTATTTTTTTGTTTTGCCCACACAGTTGATTTTTTTTAAATGTGGGTCATAAGGAGAAAAGTTATACATCAAAACTATCAACACCAGAAATATATTTACTAAACTTTTTTTCTAATTACAGGGGAAAAAATGAAGAATTTGGTTCATCCCAGTGGGGAATTCCCAAGATGAATGATCACATGCAATGAAACTATTATCTTCGTCCATTAAAATATTATCTAAAACAGAGGTTTCTATCTGGCAGCCAGAGGGCTGAATATAGCCTGCAGATGAGTTTTGTTTGGACCACACAGTTTTTAAAATATTTGAATAGGTTGCCAAGATTTCAAAATCAGGAGATTTCACATAAAAATCTGGATTTCTGGCTTATCATTACAAAGCAGCAGCAGTGGATCTGGCAAACTGGGCCTACATTCCCACCTGGCAACAATTGGCTGGAAACAAGGAGCAGCTACCTCACTGTGGTCGAGACATGAGCTTTCTGGCCCACCACAGTCCCCACTAGACTCACTGTACTTGTTTAATTTTTGTTACCTCCACATGGCCCTTTTAGGCAACTCCCACTCCTTAAAATGTCATACTACTCTAGAGTTTGTGGGGAAAAAAAAAAGAGGATGTTCTCAGAACAGAGATTTAAAAATACATATTTCACAAGTTTACAGAATATAAGACAATGGGTAGCAAGTTTCACTTCAATGAAACATTCGTGCAAACCAAAGGAAACTCATTTTCCTAATTAAACATTTTTTAAAATAGTAAATCCAGAACTGATGACCTCGCCTTACAGAGTGGTTCAACGATCTTCACATTGGTTTTCAATCAGCCACCTATTTCTCTGAAGCCCAAAATAGATGCTCATGTCAAAGTATTACTCAGATTTTGTTCCTTCACATGTTAACACTTCCACACTTCCTTTCTAGAGCTATCATGTACTTAAGTGAAAATGTACCGTAATACGAAAATAGGACATGTCTTCAAGGTAAATTTTAAAAGTCAACATTTAAGATGCATGAATATTATCACAGCAAATATTCATCTTTACTGACTCCACATGTATGCTACCATCTGACATTTATACTTACATTAAAGAGACATTATTATGGGTTCAAATGACCCAAAAAGTCATGGCATATTTCTTTACAAATGATTATTACCTAAAAGCAGATGTCTATGACACAGTCACCATGCACTTCTTTATATCTACTTTTTTTTAATGAAAGCAATTGCAAGGAGAATATCTTTTACATTTCATTATTCCCAATCAATCACAGCGACACAGCATTTCTACCTATTAATGGATTTTTAAAACAAATTAAAAATACCCTATTTAGCAGGGGGAAGAAACGGCCTTTTCATTTCATCCAACTATATTAAAAACAGGCTATCTCTGATGTATTACTACAATACAGAAATGCTTACATATCATGCAAATTGTAGTAAGTAGGCTATGACCAGTCATATGCCAACTAATTTAGATCAACTGTGGTATAGTGTTTTTACATGATGTTTCATCATTGGACCACATACTTGAAAGATTATTTTTTAAGGTGTTTCCTTCAGAAAAGTGTTTTTCTTCCATTTTTACCTAAAGAATGTAATCCCTGAACATATGCCAAATTTACTTCACAATCGGACTTTAATCCCCAAATTCTCTTGATTCTTAGCAACTTGCACAACTTTAAGTAAACAGTTCACAAAATCATAATGATCATACTGTAGCATTCCTTAACTCCTTGGTGAACAGAAAAAAAGAAAATACCATACACATGAACTCCATAAAGGTAGTCTTAGGCCTGAATGACAGTGTATTTCTTATGGGAAACATTTTTCCTTAATTTCCATTGTGATTGAAATTTGAGCAATTAGAAATAGACACCTAGAACGCAGTTGTTAATTTATCTCTCCCCACCCCTTTCACACTTTTCTTCAAACCATTTCTTAGGATGCATCTTAAAGATATGATCTTATAGGATGGCTTGCACAGATAGGGCATTGAACCAGTGTTCACATTCCTTTCTTTAAAATGCCTTGTTGTAATCCAAGACTAAACTTTCTTTCTTTTTATAAGTGTATAGCTTTAGGGGAAAAAAAAAAATGGAAATTTCTCAAATAATTACTGAGTAAAATGATTTAAAAAAAAACAAAAATTAAAACACACATTCTAGGAAAAGCATATATTTCATTACATTCATGTTGATTTGCCTTTTATACCATCTCAGAAAGGGAATTTTATGAAATACAAAATTCCCTCCCATGATGACCAAAGCTTTCACATCATGGCAGCTGACTGCAAATATGTAAAGCAGTTCTGGAAGACTCACAATTTACAAATTTTTGTTTGTACTTTATTGTTTTAAGATGAAAAATAAAGTGTGAGATAATGGATGTTTTAGTTAATCTGTGTTTTATGGAGAGAAAAGTATTACTGTCACTTAACTCCTTCTATTAATCATTGCTTTCTAGAAAAGAATATCTCAAAGTAGGCTTATACTGAAGCTCATTTCGGCATTCTGCAGTTGTAAAAAAAATTTAAAAGATCAAAAGTACAGGACTGCTGGCACATACAGGAACAGTGATTATCAGAATACTCAGAAGGCAAGCAGCAGTTGGCTTATGAAGAAATTATTTAAAATAACTATTTACACAAGTTAAAACAACCAACTTCTCACTTTTACTAAAAGGATGTTTTCAATATAATGAATATCCAAGCTTTTCTGGTCATGAGAAAACCTGGAATATATTATACACGCATGAATGTGGCCCGGGATGCAGGATATGGGATGTGCTTCCTATCAACAGATTAACACTTCATTTTCATTACTCTAATCTCACCACAGGCTGTGAACACTCTCTTTTTCTTATTTGAACAACAATGGTGCATAAAAAACCAAGCTGACAAGCAGGCGGGGTTCATTAAATGCACAAGGCCCTTATTCCCATAACACATCTCACCTGTATGAGGCCAGTTTTCTGGCTTCCTGGCTGGCTACTGAAACAAGCTCTCCCAGATGGTGGACTCTGAATTCTTCTTATCCCTTCCTACTTACATTATAATAAATGACAAAAATAAAGTAAAAATGAAAAAACCCTTCTCCACAATGAGCAATACTTAGTAATAACAGGACTGGTAACATATTTTAAGCTCTATTCAGTCCCATGATTACTTTCCAAAGTTGTCCAAGAAAACAAAGAAAAGTGGCTAGAAAGGGAAATTATGAGACATCTGAAATTTGAGTCAGAGAGAATCATCCCGGTGTCTCTATCCTAGCGTAATTCTAATTTATTGGAAGTAAGCTGTAGTCTCTCACTTGTTGAAAATGGCTATTCACAAAATAAGAAACAATCATGCTATTTTCCAATGAATGACACTGAGTTTCACCAAAAAGCTATAGTCAAGAAAGAAAAAAGGCTATATAGCATAGTATAAGGAATAATTACAAGATTCTTAGGATAGGGAATGCCTCTTTGGGGAAAGCCATCCATACACACTCATTGCCTCTGAGGCAGCCATTAGCAAATCCTCAACCTACATAGAATTAAATCACCTAATTGTCACCGCCAACCAATAAAGCAGGCATACACTTTCTGCATGTCTACACATTACATATAAATGCACTACCGTAATGTGGCAATATGGGATTTTTAGTACTTCCCAGAGCAAGACAATAAGTCCTTCCACAAAGTTCATAGCCAGACTTTGGTTTTGGTTCTTTCTGGTACTCTAATATTTATATCTAAAAAAGAAAGAATAAAAGAAAAGCAATATTAAACAGCAGCTAACCTCGCTGACTTCAAGTTAGGTTCTGGCATGAGGTCAACAAAGAGAATGTTTGCAGGCATTCTCACTCAGGGACACTCTCATGAATATGCTCAGTGTATAATTACACCCCATATCTTGCAGGTGACATCCCAGCCATGTCCACTGAGCTCCAGCACTGGCAGAGGGCACAGTAGTGGGCAGCTTTCTTTATCTATGCCTGATCAGGTGTCCCAAATAGCCACCCTAATGATTTAAACCAATGAAATCCTTCTTGATTTAAATGTTAATGGAAAGGGAAAAAAAATTATTAAATCCCTCTAATGGAGATTCTCATTTTAATATTAGTTTTGTTATTATGTTAAGCCAGCTGAAAGCAATTATTTGTTGCCATGTAAAACATTCACTAACCTGCTATCTTTCTTTTCAGACACCCAGTTCAGGCACTCCGATCATAAAATGTGAGTTCTGAAGAACTGTCTAGAGAACCAATAGCCACTAAAGGACACCTTAACAAAGTTGAAAAATTCGTGACAGTCTCAAAAACGCACAGCAGGTACAATACTGAAAGCTATGTCTTTCCCATACAGAATATGTTTCAGTCTTGTCAATTTTAACAATCTCTATGCCTTGTGAGACAATGGGTTAAAATTTATTAAATACAAAACAGGAGTGAATCCTCCTCATGTGTTATGTATACTGCATGCTTTAAATTTTTTTCATAATACCATCCATTAATACTGGCCCTACCATCATTTCAATTCCTTTTTTAAATGTTTCCGTTAACTCTTATTAGCTGCAGTTTGTCTGAAAGAGTCATCCCTTCAACCTACTGCACTGCCCTTGGTATCTTTTCCTTCTTCTAGGGAAATAAGCTCGTGTAGAAGTCTAACTGCACAAAATAATAAATCCAAGAATTACGTTTTTAAAAGAAGAAAAAAGTAAAGCAAAATCTCTCTTCATCTAAGTACTTTCTTATACAGGCTAAGGATCAAATTGAGCTGCCTTTCAGCACCTCTGAATGATAAGCCGGGGCCCCTGGTTACACGTTTTTATCATGCCCTTACTTAAAGAACCCTTCTACAGCAACACTCGGGACAGTCCTGTCAGCACTCACAGAGGACCACACCTGAGGGTGGCACCTCTCTCTCAATCCTCTGCTAGAATGATGTATTGGCAAAAGGGTATTTATTCAATTACTTCTACGTGTCAGGTGCATTTCGATTCTCTTCTATTAGGGCAAAAAGGGCCAGTGAAAGTAAGGAGGAATTCAGAGTAAGAGAGATGAGAAGAAAAGAGAATAAAGTGAGAAAGAAACTACCTCTATGAGAAAGGAAATAGGAACAGAATAACCTTGTATTTAGGTCATTAAGCAAATTTCTGCCAACCAAATAGGAATGAGATTTATAAATCAACACCACTCAATGACACATAAACCCTAAAGACAGTAGCGAAATAACATTACACTTCAAAAGTATTGAGTAAATAAGACGTCAGATATGCTCAAGAGAATCAGTTGTTTCAATGAGTAACTTCCTACTGTTCAAGATTATTTTCATTTTCTTTACAGAGAGAAATGAAAAACTGATGGGCTTAATTAAAGAAAAACAAAAGGATATTATTTTGTTGTTAAAGGATCAATTCTTTTTTTTAATTGGAATGATGATTAATAAGCTGAGAATCTGGTTCCTAAACTAGCCAGTTTGAGTAATGTGTTGTTTTTCCACAAGCATTTCCATTAAAGAAAGCTCTGTGAATGAAGAAAACATACAGAGATTCCTCTCTTCCCCTGATCTCTGCACTTTGTGGCATGAAATGCTACATACAGCATTTGAACAGAATGACACTGCACACTGTCTTCACCCAAATGAACTCCAGTCATAAATTTTTCACCTGAGGGTTTGAATGCACACTGT